ACATTTGAGCATGACTGACTAGTACCTTAACTCAAAATAACAGTAAAAATTGAAGTATGACTGACTAGTATCTTAATTAATAATAACAGTAAACATTTGAGCATGAGTGACTAGTACCTTAACTAATAATAACAGTAACCATTTGAGCATGATAGTACCTTAACTAATAATAACAGTAAACATTTGAGCATGACCGACTAGTACCTTAACTAATAATAAGATTAAACATTTGAGCATTACTGACTAGTACCTTAACTAATAATAACAGTAACAATTGAAGCATGACTGACTAGTACCTTAACTAATAAAAACAGTAAACATTTGAGCATGACTGATTAGTATCTTAACTAATAATAACAGTAATAATTTGAGCATGACTGACTAGTACCTTAACTATTAATAACAGTAAACATTTGAGCATGACTGACAAGTACCTTAACTAAAAATAACAGTAACAATTTAAGCTTGACTGACTAGTATCTTCACTAATAATTAAAGTGACCATATACTCATGACTAGCACGTGTCATAATAAAAGATGATAGAAAACATTTAATTAGTAATGTCAATTGCTGTAGTTAAAGAAGATTTTAACCAAGTGTCAAAAATAATGGAGAAAGGCATCGTTTCAGCATTACATACTTTTGTTTTATCAGCATAGCTGGTTGGTGTCTAAGCTTATAATATCGGCAATCATTTCATCACGTCAAGACTGGAGTGTTAAACCCACTTTGACGAATTACATGGTACTACGTCAACACTGAAGTGTTAAACACACTTTGACGAATTACGTGGTACTACGTCAACACTGAAGTGTTCAACACACTTTGACGAATTACATGGTACTACGTCAACACTGAAGTGTTAAACACACTTTGACGAATTACGTGGTACTACGTCAACACTGAAGTGTTCAACACACTTTGACGAATTACATGGTACTACGTATACACTGGAGTGTTAAACCCACTTTGACGAATTACATGGTACTACGTCAACACTGAAGTGTTAAACACATTTTGGCGAATTACATGGTACTACATCAACACTGAAGTGTTAAACACATTTTGGCGAATTACATGGTACTACGTCTACACCGGAGTTTTAAACCCACTTTGACGAATTAAATGGTACTACGTCAACACTGGAGTGTTAAACCCTCTTTGACGAATTACATGGTACTCCGTCAACACTGGAGTGTTAAACCCACTGTGACGAATTACATGGTACTACATCAACACTGAAGTGTTAAACACACTTTGAAGAATTACATGGAACTACGTCAACACTGCAGTGTTAAACCCACTTTGACGTATTACATGGTACTACGTCAACCCTGGAGTGTTAAACCCACTTTTACGAATTACATGGTACTACGTAAACACTGGAGAGTTAAACCCACTTTGACGAATTACATGTTACTACGTCAACACTGGAGTGGTAAACCCACTTTGACGAATTACAGGGTACTACGTATACACTGGAGTGTTAAACCCACTGTGACGAATTACATGGTACTACGTATACACTGAAGTGTTAAACCCACTTTGACGAAGTACATGGTACTACGTCAACACGGGAGTGTTAAACCCACTTTGATGAATTACATGGTACTACGTCAACACGGGAGTGTTAAACCCACTTTGACGACTTACATGGTACTACGTCAACAATGGAGTGTTAAACCCACTTTGACTAATTCCATGGTACTACGTCAACACTGTAGTGTTAAACCCACTTTGACGAATTACATGTTACTACGTCAACACTGGAGTGGTAAACCCACTTTGACGAATTACATAGTACTACGTCAACACTGGAGTGGTAAACCCACTTTGACGAATTACCTGGTACTACGTATACACTGGAGTGTTAAAACCACTTTGACGAATTACATGGTACTCCGTCAACACTGGAGTGTTAAACCCTCTTTGACGAATTACATGGTACTAAGTCAACACTGAAGTGTTAAACCCACTTTGACGTATTACATGGTACTACGTCAACACGGGAGTGTTAAACCCACTTTGATGAATTACATTGTCCCACGTCAACACTGAAGTGTTAAACACACTTGGACGAATTACATGGAACTACGTCAACACTGCAGTGTTAAACCCACTTTGACGAAGTACATGGTACTACGTCAACACGGGAGTGTTAAACCCACTTTGACGAATTACATGTTACTACGTCAACACTGAAGTGTTCAACCCACTTTGATGAATTACAAGGTACCACGTCAACACTGAAGGGTTAAACACACTTTGACGAATTACGTGGTACTACGTCAACACTGAAGTGTTAAACACACTTTGACGAATTACTTGGTACTACGTCAAGTCTACAACTAACAATTAACCAGTTCAAAAGAAAAATATTAAGGTAGATTATTTTGATTTTGTTTTTGTTTTGTTTATTTTAACAGCCCATCGACAATGTGAGTAATTTAGTGCCAACACTACTGTAAAAAAGACATTCACAAAAATAAACACATCAAACCAAAAGTAATAGCTTAAAATATGTAAAGGATTAAAGAAATAAACCAAAATCGAAAAAGTTGGCTGCACAATATATCATATTTTATTGTAAAGATCAATAAGAGTTTAAATAGTCATATATAATTTGCACAGAAACTGTATCGAATAATCTATTCATAGACGGTACATCATAAAATCTGTCAAGTATTTGTTTGAAATCAGCGCATTCAAGCATATAGCGTTTGACTGTAAATGGTTAATCATATGCATGACAATAAGGCTTGTATTCCTTACGCAAAATTTTACCATGTGTGATGTAGGTATGGTCTATGCGCAGTTGCGAGAGGACAATTTTCTCTCTGCGGTCTGCTCTACTTATTGGATATGAACCCACATTAGGTTGAATTGCAAATGACTTGCTTTAATTCTTCCCACCATTTATCCTGCCAATTCGTTTTAATAAAATTTGTTTTAGAAGGTTTAAAATCAGAAAAAGGTTGTTTTATATCTTTTGGTTGTAGGCTAAGGGCTGCTTTAGCAGCTTTATCACCTTCTTATTTCCGTTTATTCCGACATGACCTGGTATACATATTAAGGTATAGTAACACGGACCAGAAATACAGCAGCCACCCACACAGATTTTCGAGGTAATTTCGGTTTCGCTGAGTGTGCAGTAACTCATTAATAGTACATGTATAGTACGTTGGTAATATGTCTTGGAGTCCTAGAAGACCTTGTGTCCCCCGTGAAATGAGGTCAACAGCTGATAGCACGGACGTGTATATGTAGGGCAAATGTCGACAAGGCAACAGACTGTCTACGTTCAAGGGAGGGAACAGATCGTGGATCAAGTTTAAACTCGCATGGGATAAAGTTGCGCGAGGATACCTTCGATGTGAGTATGATTAGTTTCCCTCCGCTCAGAGGTTATCAGATGTTTAGATATATAAAGAAAATTAACCTATGATAAGCAAAGTAAAGCATAAAGTTATAAGCGCAAAAACACCAAAGTAGGATTCAATACTGCAGGTTATTTATCTCTACAAGAATATCACGTGATCTTAAGAAATAATGCAACGAGAACACAACTGTTTCAGGCAAAATATCTTGATTTTCTTTTAATTTGTTGTTGAAAAACTGAAAAGACAATTCTTGAACACTGTGAAGCTGTAGTGTATTAATAAAAACAGGAGACATTACATCGTATATCGTATTGACTGTTTTGTTATCGGGTGTAGGGTTAATTAAAAGTGTTTTAGAAGAACTTGTTTCACGAATGCTGAGGTGGTAATTGATTTCCGTTTAGGGGGTACTGGTACGTGTTGGAGTTAAGTGAAGAGATTTGGACATGGTCTTTATACATATATATCAAAAGTGCAAAGGTGCCAACTAAAACCCTTGCTAGAATTTCATGTTTATAACTTTTAGCTACAACGGATGCTTTTTTTAATGTAGAGTTTCTTCTAAATCGTGCCTTCTACAATATACAAGGAAATGGCATTGCTGTGGGTATAAAAATTGGACATTGCATTGTTTTGAGACACTCAGGGCCGTGTACGAAATATCAAGGTCATAAAAAGAGGCGACAGAAGTCAAACTAAGTGTGTTCAGTTCATTTGGTTTTCTTGTTATCAACATTGTTATATATACGGACGCTTGGCTATCATATCTAATTTACAGATTGTCTTTGGGAGATAACTCCTTTAAAAGGGAAAGCAATGGCAAACTGAGGTAATAATGATATTGAAGGGCTCATAAATCTCTCAAAAAATAGTTCTGGTATGAACGGTGACGTCTTTTGATACGATGATAGATAAGAGAAACAAATGATTGGTGAAGATTAGATACATATATTCAGGGCATTATTCATTATAATTAAATGTGTTTTAGCATGAACATTTACATGTATCAAGGTGGTACTTGTTTATATAATTTTGCATGATTAGTGGTTTATATGAAGAGGGAAGTATATTTAACATGGTTTTAGGGCATGAGAGAAGTGCATATTGTAGGGTAGATGGAGAAGGCCAATTAAATTTTATTTAATTGGTATATTTTATGAGATCATGAAGTTTAAATTTATTTTTGGATGAGCATGAACGGTGCCGTTTACTAAGGTGATAATGCATTGTACAATAATACGGCTCATTAGAGTGGTAATTGATTTGGTTATTTGGAAATTTTGAAAAACAATATACCTATATAATATTACCTATAAACAAAACACCGAAGGCTAAATCTCGCTAGTACTTTCGTCTATTGTGGGATTCTTCAGGCGAGTTGAATTTATTTGAATTGTGACGTCATAAATAGAGTACACTTGTTTTTTTTTAAATGAAAGTTTTGGACGCATGCATTTTGATCTCATTGCGTCGTGTCAGGACATTTGACGGTGTAATCCAGGACACGGGGTAACGGTCAGTACCAAGATAGGCGTTCTCTGGCCTGAGAAGGAACACCTGCCACTATTTCCGGTGGTTAAGATAGAGTTCGTCTTATCATCCCAGCCAGTTGGTCAAACAAAGGTTAACACGTAGATTCACGCAGGTGCAACTCGGTGGTGATAGCTTTGGTTGGTAGTGACGACCATCAGACCACCGGGGTTTATTTTTGTAGCACGGAGTTTACGTAAAACATAACCATCTGACCGCCAAATTGATTTTACAGTAGCACAAGGTAATGTTTTACGTAAAAAACCCCAGAAATGTTTGTTACAGAAAATGAGACCATATTAACCATAGATATGTTTTTATGTTGTTATTACCTGTTAGCGACCATAACCGGTCATGCACTGGCGACCTAGACAAGTTCATGTGTGGACGTCTAAAGAAGATAACGTTTAGACAGCATGGATTTAGCTGAATGTAATCAGTTAAATTATTATTTCACATATTTTTTAATGTAATTATTTAATTACCAATAACTAATAACATATTAAACATTTTTTCACACACAAAAATAGCTTAACATTCTAAGGTATTAAAATTATCTTTCCGAAGACCACTGAGCAATGAGAATACAGACCTACCTCGTTTGCATTGGATCTCGAAAATGTTCACAAGATTTCCCATTAGACTAAAGGCATTTCTGTCTGAACAATCCATGCCCTTCTTCTGGATGACTTGTTTTTATTCTCACGCGAGGCTGACTTTATTGATAAGTTCATCATGATTTGTAACAAACCCCTTGCCAATCCCTTTACTTTCACATTCAGATATATTGACGATAAGCTGTCTTTGGAACACAACAATGTATTGCCCACGTCGATCGTAAGATATTCTCTTCTGGGCTTGAAATCAACGACATTTCAGACTAAAGGGGCGATATTCAGATTTCCTTAATATTTACTTACAACATGACCAAAAGGGGCGATATTCAGATTTCCTTAATATTAACTTACAACATGACCGAGAGGGGGCGATATTCAGATTACCTTAATATTTACTTATAACATGACCAAGAGGGGGGCGATATTCAGATTTCCTGAATCTTAACTTACAACATGACCAAAAGGGTCGATATTCAGATTTCCTTAATATTTACTTACAACATGACCAAAAGGGTCGATATTCAGATTTCCTTAATAGTTACTTACAACATGACCAAGAGGGGGCGATATTCAGATTTCCTTTATATTTACTTACAACATGACCAAAAGGGACGATATTCAGATTTCGGTTTTCCACTTGTGAACTTCACCTTTCCTTAAAGTAACATCTCAGTGTTCAGGAGATTGCCCCGAATATCACGATTTCTGTAATATATGTCAACCTCGTATACTGACAAACAAGTTCCAAAGATATAAGTTAACGAGGATATATAGGAATATTACTATTTCTTAGTGTGATATGAAGATGAATGTTTTCTATTATGCCTCTAAGTTTATCTTGTTTAGTTGTCGCTACGGAGACGTGACATTACTGGGAATTAGTCTACATTCATGTGACAGGTGTCGGCGATAAAGCAGGAAACGCTTACATTTCAGGAGCATTTGGTTCTTATTCGCCATTCCTTCCTTAGTTCGTATTTTAACGATTTGGAGTTCGATTTTTTTTTTTTTTACACTTCGGTATTATCTTGCATGTTTTAGTACCACTTACTGTTGTTATTTGACACTGTTTTGAAAACCCATTAGAAGTTTCGATCAAACTTGAATAGACTTTTCTTAAACGGCTTCTTCTTTCAGAACATTTAACTTTTCCATTCTGCACACTACGATACTTAATACTCAAATGAAAGAAATTATTGACAATTTTGCTGGGTTAAACGGTAAGTTTTTGCATGAGATTGTACCCATACACACTTTGCACTTTATGATCGTTTCATATGAGGATGACTTTATCAAAGAGCTTATCAGAACAGGTATCGAAGACCTTTCCAAGACCCTCAGTTTTTATTTCAGATATAAGGATGATGCATTATTTTTAAATGAGATAAAATGTACTGACGACGTTAATCGTATATTTACATTTGCATGGCATTGCCACTATATAGCCTCTTTGGAAGCTGTGTCGTTGATGGGACTTTAATTACCATGCAGCACGAGACATAACTCTTAGCGTATTAATACAACACTGACCGGAACTACAATATCCTATGTAAATTAACATGACGGCTGCTGAAATATCGCTAGGCATTGTGAGATTTGACAATGTCATTGTAAATTTATTTGCAAAATAAAAAATAAAATAAAAAAATACTTTTATTACAACAAAAACAAGACCAAGGTCTGCAATATCGTGCAAAATGCACATCGGTTGATATTACCAATGCCGGCAATGGAAACAATTTTAACGCTCATGCAATTTATCAAAAATATCGTCTGTTACACTGCACTGATCAACAGGGGTTCGTTACAAATGTCTGAAATACAATATTTTATAGACCTACTGACACATATGTTACAGACCTACTGATATGAGTCACAGCACACATAAACATTTCAGACATTTGTAATGAACCCCTGTGCATCCGTCGCAAGATCACTCACTTCAAACGCGTCTCGCAGCCACTGTTTCTGACGACATGTCAAATAACGAGGCTGTCATAGAATCTACAGACTGTAGTCAGATTCCTATACAATCAACAAATAAATTCACGTCTGGATTCTTCACAAAATGAGCAAAGAGAAAAGTTCGCATTAACTTCCAAAAATAACTCCCTCGTGGAGGGCAAGGTCGGATTTACGGTGTTCACTGTATTTATCCATGCGCTAAATTTGTTCCGGAGAAAAATCGAAACAATTTCAAATCTAACTTTCAGCTCAGAGTTCTATTGATAAACTTAAATCACCCTATAGACATATCATACGCAATTGTATTTATACTGAATTGTGGAATAACATTGAAGTGTTTGTTAAAATTTCAAAGTACTACTTTGTTTGCCAATCAGCACGCGACAAACACGCTGTTCAAACTATTGAACGAAATTTTGTGGACTGTCGATAAGGCGGGCATTTTAAATTTTAAATATAAATTATAAGTTAAAAAAGAACATAAGAGGCAGAGAAAACGTAAATATAAGTATTGAACTGTTTTTGTATGGTATTTATGATCTATTTGAATGACACAGCTTTGCAAGCAAACAA